TTTTTAAATGTGCACAACTTTGTAGCACATCTTCTTAAAATGATTTGGTTACTCCTTTGCTCTTCTACCAATTCTTTAAATCAACCAATTTCCTTACTAGCTTCTCTGTTCTTTGAACCACTAAAAAATTACCCACTGTCATTCTTATAATAAACTCTAAGCATCTCTCAGACCTGCACTCCAAGGATCTTGCCCTTCTTTCCATCCAAATCTTATACAAAGATCCTCTCTGTTCTCCTTGCTTTGGAGACGGGCCTTCTTTCACTGCTCAGAATGCACCAGGCATCATGCTCCTCATGTCCTCTTCCTTCATCCACAGGCTTAGCTCCTATCTCTGCTTGTCTGAAATCTCTCCCCCTTATTGTTATGGTTTTAATGTCATTTCTTCATTAAAGACCTCCCCAACCAGTCACTTTCCTGTTACTCTCTATCCTAACTCCCTGCATAGCACTTTTCACAACCTATATAGTCATACTTGTTTGGTGACTGTCTCCTCTATCAGAATGTAAATTTTATGAGGGCAGTGTCTGGTTTTGTATCCCAAAAGAATATCAACCTACATCCAGTGCTTATGACAATGTCTGACACAGAAGAGATGCCTAAGAAATATTTTTTAAAACAAATGCATGAATGAAAGAAGAAGAAAGCAAGCAAGCTAGTCTTCCATGAAGCTGATTCATATAACCTCTCTGTAAAAATAAACAGGAACAGGTGTTTGAAGCAAACTTATAATTCATGAAAATCTAAATTTACATAAAGAGTATGTTGAAAGGTGATTTTTCCACTTTACGAAAAGATCCATCATAAGATTCTTTAAACAGGCTTCCCAGGTACATAGAAAGTACGATTTCATTGATTAAAACCATATGTTTGCACCGAATTCTTCAGGAAAATATCTTTTATATAAAGCAAGGTTGACCTATAAGCAATTTCCTTAAGGAACCTAGCCCAGAATGGCCAACTCTCAAATTTCCTAGGTAATAGATAATGGAGTCCTGGAATGCGGTGGATATTTGAAACCTTAGAATGCAAAGCAGTAATTTCAACCATTTAAGGTCTGCATGACTTTTCTCACAAAAACAGCTAATGGAGAGATGAATCAATGTATTTGAATCTCCCCAACTCCTCTCTCTATGTCAGTGAAAGTAAGAATGGATATGAAATGACCCCCAAAAGAGGCTGCATGAAAGGAGAACAAGGGCCTGTAAAATTCACTAAATTGATGCTTTTGTCCCGACTCCCACCACCACCACTGCCATCACTGATAATTAAGTTGTCTGACTGCTATACTGGAAAGAAGAATTCAGTGTGTTAATAAATAAAAGGCAGTTAACTTCTCTGAGCCTCAATTTCCTCATCTTAACAATGTGGGAGCCCTTTTGAAGATTATTGTCTTATAATTCTGTTCTTGAACCTACCCAAACTTTACAAAATAAGATAATTGGTAACTATTCTAATTAAATAAATTTCACAGCTCTTTCAGCTCTTCTTACTAGAAACTTTAATAAATGATCATGAACTTTAAATCAAAACATTTATAATATTTATAGAGTTGGTTGAGTTGACTATTATTGACAGTTCTTGCTTAGAAGAAAATGCTTGGCAGAATTTACTTACAACTAACTTGGTGGCTACAACAGTAGAGAATCTGCCTGCAATGCAGGAGACCCAAGTTTCATCCATGGGTTGGGAAGATCTGCTGGAGAAGGGAATGGCAACCCACTCCAGTATTCTTACTTGGAAAATTACATGGACACAGAAGCCTCGTGGGCTCCATATAGTCTGTGGGGTCACAGAGTTGGACATGATTGAGTAACTAACACTTTCACTTTTTCAACCTTTTCTTTGTCAAACATATCCCACTCTAATGGAAGCGTAATAAGCTGTTCTCAAACTGCAGTACAAGTGAAATACTTCGGCCACAGGAAGGAGAAAACAGTATATTGGTTGTGATACTAAAGATTAAAGTCAGCTAGGTTATAAGTTCATTTTACCCTTCGAAAATGACACTACTTTCATCTCAGAAAATCTAAAACCTCCAAATTTAGAAGAAAATATTTGAGATGTAGCAGAAAAGCAAGACTAAAATCTATAGAGATCTTGGCAATATTTTTGTCTTCATCAACTTCCTGAGTCATTATTTTACCCTCACTCCCCACAATTTTGATGGGTTTTTTTGCTTCAATATTAGTTTATTTGGTGACATTTTGAGGGAAACCTGTTTTTCTAAGTGACTGTACTAAAGTATTAACTTCTCACATAAAGGAATTTAGGATAATAATGTTGATCCCTAAGACTCTTCTTCATGGATCCAAAAAGCCAAAGAATGCTTTCATGGAAGCACATTATTTAGATATCGCCTGCTTTGTAGGTTAAAGAGAGATCTTGAATATATTAACAAATCTGAATGATCTGAAAGTTAATGTTTTTACATTTTGTCTAGTTTTTCTCTCTTCTCTGTTTACTCCTATGAATGGGATCAAGTCATTTCGTCCGTGAGAAAGAGGAATAGATTCAGAAAAGGATGCAAGAAAGAGGAAAAAGCAAAAGAAGTAAGGCCGGGAATGATGGAATTAAAACTGATGGGCAACCAACCCAAACGCTCAGACTAGACTGGGTGTAGCAAAAGCACTGCAGTAGGAGCAAAGACAGAGAGATGGCAGTGGGGAGACAGGAAACTCATGAAAGAGAATTTGCTAATTGAAATTACAACAAAAAAAATATACAGAAAAGTCAAGGCTGGGAGAGGCTTCTGCAGAAAGCAGGATGCAGCCTGTTCTTGAATAACACCATGACTGTGAATGTTAGCAGTGCCATCTTCCACGTGTTATACTCAGAGCTGCCACTTGACCAACAATCTCTGCTTTGGTTCGAAACACAATCCAGAAAGAGACAAATATTAGGCCACTTCTATGAAATTCTGAAGGAAATGAGTTTCTTACGAGTTTATGATTTAGGTCCTCCTGTGAGGAGATTCTGACTCTCTATGAATGTGTTGAAAGGCTGGGGCACAGGTATGGGAGTGGGGGAGGGGCAGTCAACCGAGCATGTGTAATTTGAGAAGTATCCTCAGGTTATTCAGCTGGAAGGATGCATGGATACATAGATAGGATGAGTAAGCTAAAGATATAGATGCATACTCACAGAGTTAAAATGTGTAGCTATCTAGTAAGCAACAAGGGACAACTGGGATTCCCTTAGATTTAAGAAGAGTCTTTACCTTAGCTGAAGTCTGCATAATATAATGACTTTTATCCTGGTTCTCAGCAGAGCATCAGGTCATTTTCATTTTTCATTTGTGTTAATACCAAGGTTATAGGAGACTGCTTCCAAAGAAAGTATCTATCAGGAAAAATGCCTGTCTTTTAAGAATATAAAAGACCAATAATTAATTGTAGCTTTTTTTAAATTTAAAATTTGCAGTTTCATTTTCCAAAAAATGCTAAGGAAACACCAAGTTCTTTTATCATAATTGCAGGGAGCTCTAGTGTATTCTTGTTTGGAGTACAAATTAGTACAGCCACTATTGAAAACAATGAATGGTTCCTCAAGAAATTAAAACTAGAATTGTCATATAATTCAGCAATCTCACTTTTAGATATATATCCAAAAGAGTTGAAATTAGGATCTCTCAGAGATATCTGTACTCCTAAATTTGTTGCATTATTGTTGCCTGGCATTATTCATGATAGGCAAGATATAGAAACAACCTAAGTGTTCATCAACAGATGAATGGATAAAGAAGATATACTTGATACACACACACACACACACACACACATATGATAGTATGTATTTATACACACAAAATGGAATATTATTTAGTCAGGAGAAAGGAAATCCTACCATTTGTGACAACTTGGATGAATCTTGAAGGCATTATACTAAGTGAAATAAGTCAGAGGAAGAAAGACACATAGAGATATGATGTCACTTGTATGTGGAATCTGAAAAAAACAAACTCAGAGAAATAAGTAAAATAGTGGTTATCAGGGCTTGGGAGATGAATAAATGTTGGTCAAAGGATACAGACTTCCAGGTGTGAGATTAGCAAGTTTGGGGATCTGATGTACAGCATGGTGATTATAGCTGATAGTGGTGTATCAAGTAGTTGCTGAGCGAGCAGATCTTAAATGTTCTCACAACAAAAAAGAAATGCTAACTATGGGACAGGATATCGGGTGTAGCTAATATTTTGGCTGTAATTCTTTTTTAATTAATGTATATCAAATCAATACATTGTACACCTTAAACTCACACAATGTTATGTGTGAATTATCTCCTTAAAGATGGGGGAGAAAGTAAAATTAGCACTGTGGCCAGTAACCACACATCTGCCCAGCACCAAGAAGTGCTCAGAGCACGCTGACTCAGGGCTGAATTGGGAATCATGTGGCTACATGGAGAGTGAGTGTGGCCAGAAGATACATGTGCACTGTAGGAGGTGACCCACATGCTAATCCCAGCCCTGCTTTGAACTTGGGTTTGTTTAAGGAACAAGGCCTCTCTGAGGTTTTAGTTCTTCATTTGTAAGGTTAGAACATTGAACTCTGTGTTGGTAAAGTCCTTTGCCAGCACCATCACTGTATAACTTCATGAGTTTAATCTTCAATGCCAATACCACCTGGAAGTCTGGAGGCCTCTTTAAGAGGTCGGTTAGGTTTTAGCTATATATTAATGACAACTTTTCAATGCTTTAATCACCACTCAATCAGTGGTTTGAAATTTTTAGTCTTTAATCACATGATTTTGTACAGACTGTACAATCAATAGCCAAATAGAAAGAAAGAAGGAAAGAAGGAAGAGAGAAGTGGGAGGGGACTTCAGTAACTGTATTATCTTTCTGCTCTAAGTATCTTATTTTTACTTCCAGTGTATGCGAAATGATTTTTTATTGCTCAAAGAATTGTACTTTAATGAGTTCATCTCATAAATATCTACAGCTTACCACAAAAAGAACATGCTTATCATTAACAATCATCTTCTCCATGTTTCATTAGATTTGGAAAGAAGAAAGATGATAAGGGTGGAAAGGCAGAGCAGAAAGGTCCTCCGAAGCAGGGTGGCCTGAGAGAAGAGGAACTGGAAAAAATGAAAGAAGAACGTGAGAGGTGAGTAGAAATGATAAGCCTCTTGTTTCATTTTTGTGCATGGTCTATGTTTAATTTGGTTATTGTATCAGTCAACTGGAGAAATCTTATTTTAAAATGCATAAAGGTTGACTGATGCAGAAGGAGAGATACCTGATATAAATGGAATCTGCCTTTCTGGGGAATTTTTATTATATTTTGAGAAAAAATTGACTTCGTGTTTTTATTTTATCGGTACTTATAATTCTGAAATGTGCTATCCCTAGTTTTGACTCTATAAATGCATATGTTCCCTGTGGTTTAAACATGGTTTAAACAAGGAGGTGGTTTTTTTTTTTTTTAAGTCATTTGAATATTGATGTTTAGAGCTATCAAATTTCCATAGTCTGTTCTTAATTTTTGTCAAGCTGTTGTATGCCTTCTTAATTTTATTCTGTTAAACCCATTTGGGTACTATAATTTGAAAAGTACATGCCCTTCATTTTTAAAAAGCCAGTGTCTTTTATTATGCCATCAGCAAGTTACAAAGTATGTTGCCCATCTGTGAAAGGGTCGGTTTCATTTACTAAAAAAATGACAGTTTGCAAGGGCTGAATTCTCCTTTTTAAGGAGCTTAATGTTCCATTTAGACAAGAAGTCCTTCACATATCTTTGATGTTAGCTCTGGCACTTACCCCAAGTAGATGTATAAATGTCTGACTTTGAAACATGTAATTGAATATTCATATTTCTCCTGAAAATTCTTTGCCTTCACAACTAGATGAAGCTTGGAGAAAGACTGAGATTATTCTATAACTAAGTATTTGATATTGACTTGATCCTGCATGACGTCAGATTTGTGCAACTTTTTCCCTGCCTATTAGTAATAATAGTTTTTGCAGTTTTTAAAAAGTCAGTACTTGTACTTATTTTAATTTTCTAGCTTGTGTGCTAAGAAAATCATACTTCTTATTCATTGTGTTTTCTAGTGCAGAGCATGCTAAGAGTACCAACTGTTAACCTTTGACCCCTATCTTGTGGTCTATTCCCATTGAGAAGGCTCACTTTATCAATAGCAAGAAAAAAATGCTATTTAGTCCTTTCTCATTTTTGAGAGGTTGATAAGCTCAGTTTCAGGGTCAGTGGAGCAGATAAAAGGAAATCAAGTGCTTTCCATTGTTGTTGACTATTCACATGTCAGAGTTGCCCCAAAGAGAAGAAAAATGAATTCTCCATCATAATCCAAGATTCAGTAATCCTGTAATGTAAAATGTAATTCAGGCTAAGATTTTAATGCATCTATTGGCAAAGACATCTGTGTGCTGAGTCCCCATCGTAGATCTTTGCTGCTCCCCTGATTTCACTTACTGAAGCACCACATTCTTGCCTCATCTTCAGGAAACTAAGCTATTTTCTAGAATGCAGACTTTACATATTTTGCAGCTCAATGCTGGCTTGGGGTTGAAGAGGGGTGTTACTCTTAGTAGCTAGGGAATCCTGTGCCAGATAGAAAATTGATAACTCATAAAATAAGGTGAGTTGTCTTTAAGCAAAAGTTCATTTCCTTTCTGGTTTTGCCTTTAGGAAACAGGTGCCTGAGGGAGTTTTGTTCTTAAAATTGGGACCGTAAATTCACCTCAGCTGGTTATATAGGTTTCAGGTCCAATTTTCTTAAAATATGTCTGGTCAAAATATTTAAAGAGCTATACTGTTAGCCCCCACTTAGTCCACTTCCCGCACATGATCACATAAAACACATCCGATATGGGTTTCCTAGAGACAACATTGTCTCAATCATTTATGAGGGGAAGAAGTAGGAGAAGTTGATTTTATGGTTGGGTGCTATAGAATTGATGACCAAGGACATTTCAACAGCTCAGGGGCTGAAGACCGTAAAGGGCAAAGGTAAAGGCTGAACATTTGGCATCGCTCTCAACCCTGGAGTCCCATTTCTTGGCTCTCTATCATCCATAGGAAACCAATTCACAACTCTTAAAGAACTCAGCAAATGTATCACTTGTCATGGCCTGGCCACAGGAAAACAATACAATAAAATAGGAAACAGTGTATACAAGTTCACAAAGTGGAGTTTTTCCTAATATATTTGAAATTTATTATGTAAAGAGGATTTAAGCCATCCAACTGCTTACTTGCTTCATTCTAGCTGTCATAGATATAATAGCTTTTCATTAACATATCCCTTTTTCAAAGAGTTTAAAGCACTTAAGTAAAATACATACTGTACATTGCTGAAACCAGCCTGTACCAATTTGTGAAAGATGACTACTAAGCTTTCAAGAATTATGTGAGCTTCTTGTTAAACCATTGGTAGCTTGAAATTGTTCTTGGTGGAAGTGTTTACACCACAGAAACTGGCAAATGATGGTAAATTGGGTTTGTTTTCTCAAAGAACCAGTTTGCTAACACACCACTGAGGGTCTATACCAATTCTGTTTAGTGTATAGCAGGAAGAAATTATCAAAAATAGAGGGGGAAAAAAATACTCATCCAAATCAAAACACATGACCTCTTATAGATAGCTATGTTTCTCAGATTGGTCTATGGAACACCTGAATCAGAATGAATCACTTGGGGAGCTTGTGGAAAAATGAGAATTCCTGACACACCAGATTTACAGAATCAGAATCTTGGGGGTTAGAGGTGAGGAATCTAGGTTTAATACTTATGCTCAATGCGATTCTTTAGCAGTCTGAGAAACACTGAGTTTGGGGGACAGGATTTAGCTGGAACATTAGATTAAGCTCTTCTCATTCTATAAAAAAATGATATACAGATTTTTTTTTTTCTCAAGAGGATTAAATAACTCGGTCTAAAAATGTTGCCATTTTTCTAACATGCCCTCTCTGAGGCATCCTACCTTACTTGCATGCTTTTTGCAAACAAAAGAGGAACACTTGGCAGTGCTCATTCACCTAAGGGAATATGAATCACTTTCCCTACCCATACCCCCATGCACACAAAGCTTACAAAGACAATAAGTTTATTAAGACACTTTTGGAAACATAAGTGTAAAGAAGATTATTAAAATCAGGCAAAATTCTACCATAATTCCATAACCACTGTTAATATTTTTATGATTTTTTACTATATTTGATATTCATACCATATGTATTTTACTTTTTTCACAGAGTTCCTATTATGTTGAGCATTCCCCAATGCCATTAATGTTTTGAAATCATGTCATTTTGATGACTGCCTAATAGCCTGTGAGATCAACATATCAAAATATATTTATCCTCTTTTATCTTCAAATGTATAGACCGTTTCCATGTTTTCAGTGTTCATACCTTGGTGAGCATCCAGGTACAAAAGTCCTCATATATTACCTCTTAAATCATATAATTTGAAGGTTCAATTTCCTTGTAACTGTTTGACCCAACTGTTAATCTAACCTTAACTCTAAACTTTAGGGTTATAGCATTCTTCTCCATTCCTCTCACTATTTTTCTTATTATTTCCATATCTTGTTTTAATTTGCCTGTGTATCTAGCTCCTAATACAGAACTGTGTTGATGATATATATGAATATCTTATTCACAGCTAGAACTATGAGTGAAAGTGAAGCCGCTCAGTAGTGTCTTATTCTTTGTGACCCCATGGACTGTAGCCTGCCAGGCTCCTCCATCCATGGGATTTTCCAGTCAAGAATACTGGAGTGGGTTGCCATTTCCTTCTGCAGGGGATCTTCCCAACCCTGGGATTGAACCTGGGTCTCCTGCATTGCAGGCAGACTCTTTACTGTCTGAGCCACAAGGGAAACTCAGTTGTAGCTATCAGAAGGTCAAAAACCTACAACTGGTGGATTGAGTTATTAGATTAAAGAGTCTAGAACAGCGATTCTCAGTTCTTTGGAGGAGGGGTATGAAGGACCGAAAATTGCTTCCCAAGGAACGTTTGGCTGTATCTTGAGACATTGTTGATTACCAAAGCTTTGGAGAGGGGGTGTGGGGAGTGAGTTGCTACTGCCATGTCCTGGGTAGAAGCCCAGAATATGGCTACATGTCCTAGAACCGTAAGACAGCTCCCATCCTCAAATGATGAGTTATCTGACTCAAACTGCCAGTGGTGTGCAGGCTGAAAACCCCTGTTTGTGCTCCACAAAGAGTAACAATACTCTCCTGGACATTAGTATTGCATTGTCTCACAATCTGTGGCTAATACAGAGAGATATACACTAGATCATCTAAGCCTAGAGGATTATTAGCTATTTGAGAAACTACACCCAAAGATTCCTAATGAATATTCCAACAATATAAGCTTGCAAGAAAAAAGTTTTCCTAAAAATTTATTTTTAACTCTGGCTTGCTGAGCATTGGCATCAGTGATGGTGCCTATTGATCAGATTTCAAATTCCAAAAAGCTGCAGGGGTTGACAATGTGTCTGATGACAGAATCATCTGGAACAATGGACTGAATCAAATATAAAGGAACTTAATAGGAATAAATGTAAAGTCTTGTGTTTAGGTCCAAAAATGAGCTGTATAAACACAGGATGTAGAAGGTTTGACTTAATACCAAATATATGAAAAATTTGCCTGATGGTTTTAGTTGAGGGTAAGCTTTGCAAGAGTCAATATGGGGATATGCCTGCCAGAAACTTAATCCAGCCTAGGCTACAGAAATTCATGTACGAAAGTGAAGGAAGAAACAATAATTTCTGTTCTACACTGCTCAGATCACACCTGGAATACCTTAAGCCTCTCTCACACACAGAAAATGGCAGTATTAAATCCATGTCTTTTGAAAAATATGGAAGGATATGGGAATGCACAGCCTGCAAGTTCAGACTTAGATGACGTCACATGATTAAAGAACATTAACATAAAAGAGGAATTAGATGTGTTTTATAGCCTCCATTCTCTTTCCATTCTCTCCCTCTAATTATTCATTTATTCATTTATTTTCTTGAAGATTCTAATGAGGAATTATTTTTAGAGAGGTAGCCATCAGCTTAATAGAGGGGAAAACATCCTGACAAATTACAGTGTCTCATGCAGCGGCAAGTGTATTGACACTGGAAA